TCTCTCTCTCTCTCTCTCTCTCTCTCTCTCTCTCTCTCTCTCTCTCTCTCTCTCTCTCTCTCTCTCTCCCTCTCTCTCTCCCTCCCTCTCTCGCTCTCCTTCCTCTAAGCTCCGTCTCTCACTTATGATATTTCACGTCCCTCGTCGAACATCTCGTTATTGCAAGCGGAGATCTCCCGCGACCCGTTACGAGCAGCGCGAAAATGCTCGTCTTCAGCCACGACCGACGCGAGTTTCGGGCGATCGGCGAAGGAGTCCGTTCGATCCGGGCGAGTCGAGTGGCCAGTCGGTCTCGGGTCACGCTCGCCCGGGTCCGGACTCGACCAGCGACATTTACTACCCGTTGCGGAATTGATGGCGTGTCTCTCAGTCCTTCCACAGTAACACGACCCGGCCTGCGATGTCACGCCCGCCTCGCCCGCCTCGCCCGCCTCGCCGCCTCGCCCGCCGCGCGCATACCCCCTTCGTCCACCCGGGATGTATGTTCGACCGGCAGGCGGGTGTTCTAGGTCAGATGTTGCGCATTCCTGGATGTGCCCCCTTGCCCCTCCCCCTCCTCGCCTCCTTCCCCTCCCCTTCGTCCCTCCTCTCCTTCTCCCCCCTTCCTCCCCTTCTCTCCCTCTTCCCCTCCTTCTTGTCTTTCCTTCCCTTTCCGCCCTCTTCTTGTCCCTCCCTTCCCTCCCCGCCCCTCCTTGCCCCTCCCTCTCCTCCCCCCCCTCTCTCTCTCTATCTGCCTATCCCCCTTAGTTCCTCCCCTTCACCTGTTGGTCAGGACGAGTTTCTTCCTCTCAAAATCGCGTGCTTTATTTCCTTGCTTTCGGGTCCTTCAGGTGTTCTAGGTCAGCTGATCTGGACTCGAGGCTATCCCTCCTTAAAGCCTATTTGTACCTTCGCATATAAGAGTATTTAATCCGTACTGCGTCGGGTGGTTAGCCGTCTAATAAAGCCTCGCGCTGGTCTTGGCCTCTCCACCTCCGCCTCCTGCAATGGGACACGGCCTCCGCTCTCGCTCACGACTCGGGACTAAAGTGAAGCAGATTTCCATGACCGTGAAAGCCCGATGGTCCCGGAGTCACGAGTCCCGAGTGTTCGGTGCTGGCGGCGGGGAAGGAGGGTGACAGGGAGTGCGGGATCGTCTCTTAGCTCTCGTGCTTATTTACGGGCCCCCGCTGCCTCGTCCCCCCGGGAGTGTCGGTGTCAGAACGGGGCTGTTGGGAAGGGGCTTCGGACGCGGGGGTGTCGGGGCGCAGTGGAACAACCCTCGGCGAAAACTCGGCGGAGGAACGTAGCGAGGGGAGTAAATTTTCCTTTGTCTCTTGGGGGTTTTGGGGAGGATTGTGCCGTTTCCTGGTACACGGCCCTCAACCCGAGGCCCATCCCATCCTCGGACACACATTCCCACGCCCGCCTTCCTCCAGCTAATCTCTACAGCCCCTCCACGCCCACAGACCTCTACACGCGCTATCTCCCAAGGCGCCCACGCCCTCCCACTACAACTTCCTTGAGACGCCGAGGGTCCCCGCCCGCCGGCCCCCGCTTTCTCCCCGACCCCGCGACCCCGAGCCGAGGACTAATGAGCTGTTAATGTCCCTCCCGGACGACGTGGGCGATAAGGAGACGCTCACGACATCGGCCCGGTCACGATGTCCGGCCGGGGCGCTATCGGGAGGCTATCGGAGCGTCGCCCTCGGGATCGGCTCCCTCGCGTGGGTCTGGCTCTTGTCGGGGCTCGTATCGGGCTCCTGGCTCTAATGGCGCTCGTAGGCTCCCTCGCGCCGACGGATGGGTGGTTCCTGGCTCTTAATGGCGCTCGTAGGCTCCCTCGCGGCTCACGGAGAGGTCGGGGAACGGTGAGCGAGGGAACTGCCGTCTCAGGATTCGTTAGTGATACAAACAAATACTTTTTCAATGATAAGCAGAGAGACAGACGCACAGACGCACATACACTCTCTCTTTGTTGTCTGTTGAAGGATAACAGACACAGAAACGCACACTCTGTCTGTCTGACAGAACTTTTGAGTGACAGACACACAAATGCACGTACTCTCTCTGTCTATGTCTACTGAAGAATAACAGACACAGAAACGCACGCACTCTGTGTATGTCTATTGAATCGTGACAAACACAGAAACGCACTCTCTCTCTGTCAGTGTCTATTAAGGAACTGGAAGAGGAAATGTCGTGAGGATTAGGAATCCATAGCCTACGTCAGCTTGGCATCGTCTGCCGCAGACTGTGGCATTTATAATTTAAGTTACGCCTCGGTCTGGTTTGATATCAGAGGCAGCACCGCCTCCCGCCTTGTCTCGCGGCATCTCCCCTTCTTTCCCTTCACAGACGTCGACCCTCTCTTTCTCTTTCTCTTTCTCTTTCTCTCTCTCTCTCTCTCTCTCTCTCTCTCTCTCTCTCTCCTCTCTCTCTCTCTCTCTCTCTCTCTCTCTCTCTCTCTCTCTCTCTCTCTCTCTCTCTCTTTCTCTCCTCTCTCTCTCTCTCTTTCAATCTCTCTCTCTCTTCCCTCTCTCTCTCTCTCTTTCAATCCCTCTCTCTCTCTCTCTTTCAATCTCTCTCTTTCTCTCTCTCTTTCTCTCTCTCTCTCTCTCTTTCAATCCCTCTCTCTCTCTCTCTTTCAATCCCTCTCTCTCTCTCTTCTCTCTCTCTCTCTCTCTCTCTCCTCTCTCTCTCTCTCTCTCTCTCTCTCTCTCTCTCTCTCTCTCTCTCTCTCTCTCTCTCTCTTTCTCTCTCTCTCTTCTCTCTTTCTCTCTCTCTCTCTCTCTCTCTCCTCTCTCTCTTTCCTCTGCTCTCTCTCTCTCTCTCTCTCTCTGTGTGTGTGTGTGCGTCCGCGTCGGCGAAGTTGTTTATGCGGTATGTGGGAGAGAGACTTGTTTACATACCTGTTTGCAACTTTTTTTTCTTTTTTTTACGTGAACAGTCATGAGTTCATGTGTTCTACCCGTGGACTTAAGTCGTACATGGTGACCGCTGCAGAGTTGAACATGCGGCCCAATGGTCCTCGGACGATGCAGTAACGCCCACAGACCTGCGTGGCGTGTGGCTCTGGGGCTCTCATGGGCGTGTTTTATGGCACCCAAACCGCAGTGTTCCTTACGTGGGGACAAGGCATCCGGCGAGTGTGCGGTGACGTGCTACTCGAGGTGATGGCCGCACGTGGCAGGCAGTGTAAGACGCCCATAAAAGAGGGTTTTGCTACAGATGAAAACGTCGGGGGATGCGGAGGCTCTCGTGTCGGCTTTGGTATCTGTCGGGTCGGTCGGATTGATGCATTTCGGGGTTGTGGGATTGGTATCGTTCACGGCTGTCGGTTCTTGTTGTGTTTGGGATTTTGGGTTTGTGTTATTGGAGGCTTTCGGTTTAATACCAATCGGGGCTGTCGGCTTTATATCATTTGGGGATGTCGGCTTTGTACCGTCGGAGGCTGCCGGCTTAGTACCAATCGCGGCTGTAGGCTTGGTACTTCATGACTGTCGGCTTTATATCATTTCGGGGCTGTCGGCTTGGTACGATGCGGGGACTCCGAGGGACCTCGACGCATTCCGGCCTCGACCAAACAGGAAGGGCGACGTCGCTGGGAAGGAGGTGCGTCGGAAGGGCTTCGCTTGTCCTCCCCCTCCTCCCCCTCCTCATTGCCTCCGTTCTCCTCCCCCCCTCCCTCCTTCCTTCCCCCCTCCCTACTCCCTCCTCCCTCTCCCTCCCCTCTTCCTCCCCCCCCCTCCTCCCCCTTCTCCTCTCCCTTTCCTTTCCTCCCCCTTCTCCCTCCTCCCTCCTCCCTCCCTCCCCCCCTTCCTCCCATCCCCCATCCCCCTCCCGGCCGTGACTCACTCCCTCCTCGCCCCTCATACTTCATCGGTGGCGTCATGAGGCTGAGAATGTTGATGTTGCGGGGACGGGTCAGCAGACTAGGGTCTTCCCCCACTCGGCGCCTGGCAATAACTGGGCTAAATCAGCAATTAAGACCCCCCGGCTACGGCCTTAATGAAATAGCTACGAATGGGGTTTGATTGAATGTTATTACTGTCGATAATGACGTGGATAGCCGTCGTAAAATGCGGCTCGCGTTATCTGGCGAGCGATTGGGGTTCGCGATGACGGAAGAAGAAGAAAAAAAGAAGAACAGAGGAAAAAGAGGAAAACACACACAATCACACGCACACACGCGCCGTACACGTATATGTATGTATTTTTAGTTGTGTATATCGTGAGAGAGAGAGAGAAAAGAGAGACAGGCAGGTAGGCAGACATATATGCGTTTGTAATATATGTGTGTTAAGTATATATTGATTATGAATTCATTAATATTATGGATTCAAAAAGCGTTTCAAAGCTGCAAAAAGCCGTTGCGTAACAAGGAGCAGGTATGAGGACGCTCCCTTGTCGCCTCCCTTCTTGTTTTGGGGCCCTGGGTATTGGGGTCCGGTTCAGGCCACGTGTTATCGGTTCAGAAGCCGGGCCGCGGACCCCACGCCGACCCCCCGCTGTCCCGACACTGTCTCTGATGGCCGTCACCGACCTCCGGGGAATATGAATACCCCACATAATGACGCCCACCTTGGGGTACCTTTCATTAGTGGCTCGGCGGACGGGGGGAGGCTGATGCGGCGAACTTCAGCACTTGGAGGACGAAGTTTTAGCGTCCGGGGGTTGTTGTGGGGTTCCTCGTGGAGGGTCGAGGAGGGAAGGGGCCCCGGGAACGTGGAGGATTCGGAAGAGGGGTAATCCTTTATCGGGGTTGATAGCAACTCGATCATTTCTAGCTTTTGCGGCGGTCGTAAATTTCCTCGGGATCGAAGCCACACGTGTCTGTACCTTCAAACATCTGTTCCTGTAGATTGGTTATCGCCGATTTCCCCCCTCTCCCCTCTTCCCCCCCTCCCCCCCCCAGACTGACTTCGTTATCGCCGATTCCCCTTTCCCCCCCTCCCCTCCCCCCCACCGACAGCGATACAGGTACTAATCGCATCTGTTTTCTCACTTCTTCCAGAGGCGCGGAGCAGGATGGGTGTAGCAGGAGTGGCGTCGGCGAGGGCGTGGGGGCGGCAGTGGCCCGAGCGAGGCCTTCTGCTGCTGCTCCTGCTCATGACCTACTGGACCGTCACCACGCGAGCAGGTAAGGACATCTCCAGACGGACTCCTGAATTATTACTCAGCGGGGTTGCCCAGGGACGGCGGAACATGCGGCTGGGCTCCCCCGGGCTGGCGCGGCGGGCTTCACTATTCCGGCTTACGGCTTTCGATGCATTTTTTTTTTTTTTTGGGGGGGGGGGTGGAGGTTGTCTTCGTCTATATATTCCGCCTTTTTTCATTCGTTCATTTTACGTTTGTTTTTCGTCTATTTCCCCCCACTCCGTTTTTTATTTTATTCGTTATCGCTCGCAATCTTTCCCTCCCAATACCCTGTTTCTAAACCCAAAAGAAAGAAAGAAAATATTAAAATATAATCCCCCCCTTTTTCTTCTTTTTTTCCTTTTTTTTCCAAGTGATACCCAGGCATTGCTTTGATGAATTATGCAATGGGAACTGAAATTTGAAAATCATTCGGGTCGTCCTGGGATGATGATTATTTATTTGCGTGTCTCCTGCGGGGTTATTTCGGGATCGGCGCGAACGGCGTGTTCCTCAATCAGCCTGGTTTTCTTGGGCCTTTCTCGCTCTCGCTTTGTCTGTCTGTCTGTCTGTCTTCGCTTTCGCTTTTTTTTTTTCTTTTTTTCTTTTTTTTCTTCTTTCTTTCCTTTCTTTCTTTCTTTTCTTTCTTTCTTTCTTCTTTCTTCTTTCTTTCTTCTTCTTCTTTCTTCTCTCTCTCTCTCTCTCTCTCTCTCTCTCTCTCTCTCTCTCTCTCTCTCTCTCTCTCTCTCTCTCTCTCTTCTCCTCTCTCTCTCTCTCTCTCTCCTCTCTCTTTCCCTCCCTCTCCCTCTCCCTCTCCCTCCCTCCCTCCCTCCCTCCTCCCTCCTTCCCTCTCCCTCCCACCCTTCCCTCCTTCCCTCCCTCCCTCCCTCTTGTCTCTACGCGTCTCCTTTTCTGCATTTTCTTTTCAAATCAGGACACTTATTTCGAGTTGTTGAGTGTTTCATCCCCTTTACTTCTCATACTCGGGATTCCTTCCATTCCCTTTACTGCTGACTGTCCCATCCCCTTGACTGCTGTTATTGCTGTCTTGCTGCTGATTACTCTTTCGCCGCGACACCCCTGCTGCTGATTCTGTCCTCGCTCTCGGTTTTGTTATTTTTCATTCTTTCTCTCTGTCTGTGCTCTCTCTCTCGTCTCTCTCTCTCTCTCTCTCTCTCTCTCTCTCTCTCTCTCTCTCTCTCTCTCTCTCTCTCTCTCTCTCTCTCTCTCTCTCTCTCTCTCTCTCTCTCTCGCGACACCCTTGCTGTATTCCTTCGTCACTCTCGGTTTTTATTATTTTTCATTCCGTCTACTCGTTCGTTTTGCTCGTACACGCTGGTTGTAAATTTGTTTTCCTTTTTTTACTGTTTGTGTTGTTTGTATGATGTAATAAGTGATTGGATTATTCTTTGTTTTAGTGCAATTTTATATACGAGTGATTCTATTTTTTTTAGATGTAATTTTATAAACGATATCCCTCTTGAAAGATTTATTTTCTGGCTCTTCCACTCCCGCGATGCTGTGCCCGGCGCGGCGTGTTGCGTTTTTAACTCACGTGCCTGTTTACCCTCCCGTGTTAACATTAACCCTCCGTTGATCCGTGCATGTAGCTATTTCCCTGTTTGTTTTCGTCTTCCAAGTCCCGTTCCTGGGGCTGTTTACTCCCCCTGTGTTCCCCGGTTGTCTGTGCTTAAACTCCCTTGTGTGCGAGTATTTTAGCGTGGCTCGTTCCCTCGTCCGGGTAATGTATGCCCCAGCCAAACACGTGTATTTCCAAACACCAGAGACTCGAGAGCATCATAAAAACGCGTTGAATATTCAGGGAAGAGTAGCGGGGGTTCTTGTGAAAGGGAGGAGGGGGCGGCGAGGGTTGGGGGAACGGGAGGGGGACCTAAGGGAGCGGGTATTTAGGCGCAAGTGGGCGAGGGTCTTGTGTGCGCGGGGATGAAGCGACCAAAGTTCAGGGACTCTTAACCTAATGTAGTCTATCGCGCCGCTTTTCAAAACATTTCTTGAGAGCCTCGGAAGGTCGATGAAGAAATTGTGTTCGCAGAGCCTCTCGTGGCGGAGCCGCCGCGCGAGGGGCCCTCACCCTCGCGGGGTTCGAAAGCCTCGAGGAGGACGTCGGCGTCGGGCGGGGATTTCGGAGATTAATTTATTAAAATAGCCGTGTGTATATCCTCGCGGTATTTACAAGGATTATTAATGTTGATGAAGCGCGGGCCTGTAGGGTGGGCCCTCGTCTCGGCGGCGGGGAGCGGCTGAAGGGGGGAGGCGGAGGGGAGGCGAGGGGAGCGGGGGGCGCGGAGGCGAAGCGTATGGTCTGGAAAGGGAAGTCAGTTTTGACATAGGTTTGAGAGGAGAGAAGAGCAGGGAGGAGAGAGAGAGAGGAGGGAGGAGGGAGGGAGGGAGGGAGGGGGGACAGGTAGAGGAGGTAGAGGAGGAGGAGGGAGGAGCGAGAAGGAGACGTCCGAAGCGAGCCCAAAATGCAAATCCGCGCCGTGTTCTGAGAGCGGCCGGGCGAGGACTGCCCCGCGTTTACCGCAACCTATAATTTACAACAATATTATCGAGTAATGTATGCAGGGGCTCAAAAACGAAGATTTGTTACGCTGCTTTTGGCGATTTATAGTTAACTTATTTCTGAGACACGGGTTCTTTTTGTATAAATGACAAGAGGCCGAGTGATCTCAACCTTCCCACCAGGAGATTCTTTTAGCTGGTCGTCCCGAGGCCTCATGGTCGGCTGCTGATGACTCGCCTCCGGGCCATTTATCTGCATATACAAATTATTCATGAGCAATGGACACTGGCGTTTTCCTCAATGGCTGGTTTTCGGGCCGGGGAATATCATACGCGCAACGCCGATGAGCCGACATCACTCGACAGCGCCATAGCACTCACACGCGCGCCTCGGCTGGTACTAGTCCACAAGGGAGGGAAAAAAGGAGGAGAAATAATCATCATCGCTTCATACAACCTTGGCTAAAGCATCCTCAGGAATTTTGTCGCTGCGTACGGATGTTTATGGCTCGTAATGCGTGTTCTTGTCGCTGTGTGCGGATGCTTACGATTTTTTATGCTTGTTCTTCATAATAGAACACGGACGTTGTGCTGCAATATGTTATGGTGCTCGGCTGGACGGGGGACGGGGGAGGGAGAGGGACGGGGGTTCTGGGGGTCCTTTGTTGGGATAGAATATTGAGGGAGAGTTGAGGACGCACTGGGGAGAGGGGCGGGGAGAGCGAATGACGAGTGAGGGAGATCAAGAAAGTTTCGATAAGAAGAAAAGGGAATACGATCGTGTTGCCTTTTTCGGAAGCAGGCGATGGACGAAGACTCCTTGTACGATGACGGAAGAAAGTCAGCGAAGTTCAGACTAGGAAGCGAAAGATAGCGAATGGCAGCGGAATCCAGACGGGAGCGAAAGGCAGTTAGCGATACTCAGACTAAGGAGCGAAAGACAGTCAACGAAATACAGGGAAATTCACACTAGGAAGCGAAATAGAGTGAAATTCACAGTAGGAAGCGAAAGACAGCGAAATTCCTCGAAATTCAGACTAGGAACCAAAAAAAAAAAACAGTTAGCGAAATACAGTGAAATTCAACTAGGAACCTAAAAAAACAGTTAGCGAAATACAGCGAAATTCGTACTAGGAATCGAAAATTCAGTCACCGAAGCCCAAGACAAGGAAGGGCACAGGCCCCGGCACGCACAGCAGAAGAGAAGAGGGCAGCGAATCTCCTGCAGGACAGCGCGAGTAGCCGGGAAGCAGCAGGGTTTGGTTGCGACCGATTTAAGAAGCAGTTCACGTGGAGCGGATCGTATGCGCGCGTGTTATTGGAAGTAGCAAGAGGTGCTTCGGTCGCCCGGTGGTCGCCTGCACGATAACGACCTCCGTGAGCAGGGTAACGACGAAACGCCAAGGACACGGGGAGGTTGTTTCGGTGTCCTTCCGTCCGTGCGTGCGTGCTTGCTTGTTCTCCCGGGGGCATGTCGTTCGCTAGTGTTCTCCGTCGTCGTTCCTGAGTTTTCCGTCGTCGTGTCGTCGTCCTTGAGTTCGTCGTCGTTCCTAAGTTCTTCGTCGTTTCTGAGTCCTCCTTCGTCGTTCCCGAGTCCTCCTTCGGCGCCAGGTGAGGAGGACGGGCTATCGGGGGCTGCCCGACGACGGGGCGACGGCGATCGGTGTGGTCTGGCTCATTATGGATCCCGGCGATGGGTGGTCCTCGTTCCTCCGGGCGGCGAAACGCAAAGGAAAGCCTAATACACATCTGCAGCGTTCTTTCGGAGCCGTTAACTGTGAGTCATGCGTGCCGTTCATCAAGTGGAACATTGTGCCAGAACAGAGCAGCGCGTCCATTAAACACGTGGCTCAGAGAACAGACCCTGGGAGCGCTAATGGCCCCGGCGTGGCCCGCGCACGCAATCCCGCCTCGCCCCGCGGCCCCGGCGTTGTGGCGAGGGGACGCGGTCCTGCGGCGGCGAGACTGGGGGAGGGCATCGTTCACTCTGACTGCGCGTTGATTGTCCTTTTGTCTGTTTCTCTGTCTGGTTGTGCGCGCGCGCACACACACACACACACACACACACACACACACACACACACACACACACACACACACACACACACACACACACACACACACACACACACACACATCCCTCTTTCCTTCCCTTCCTTCTTCTCTCATCTCCCACCTCTCTTTGTCCCATTCGACTCCTCCTTATTTTTCTCTGTCTCACGCTCAGTCCCTCGTGTCCCCCTTCCTCCTCCTGTTTCCTCCTCCTCGACCAAGCACGCCCAGCAGAGCCGCGAAAACAGCTGTGGAGGCAATGCGTCTGTGCCTATATATCAGGAGGGCGTTCCTCCGCGGAGATCAATCAGGCGGGAGAAGGACCACAGTCGTCGCGGGTCCAAGGAGCGGCAGATGAAGGAACCCGTGGCAGGTGCGCTTCTAACTGCCGGCAATTACAATACATTAAGCGAGCAAATGGCGGGGTTC